TTCCCTAGATCTTTTTTTTTTTTTTATGGTTCTAGCCTGAACCAGTTTTTACTATGATGGTTTTATTTTATTCATTTATTTTTTTTAATTTTATTTATTATTTATTTTTATTTTTGGCTGCATTGGGTCTTCGTTGCTGCGCGCAGGCTTTCTCTGGTTGCAGCGAGCGGGGTCTACTCTTCGTTGTGGTGTGCGGGCTTCTCATTGCAGTGGCTTCTCTTGTGGAGCACGGGCTCTAGGCGCATGGGCTTCAGTAGTTGTGGCATGTGGGCTCAGTAGTTGTGGCACGCAGGCTCAGTAGTTGTGGCGCACGGGCTTAGTTGCTCCGTGGCATGTGGGATCTTCCTGTGTCCCCTGCATTGGCAGGCGGATTCTTAACCACTGCACCACCAGGGAAGCCCTCCCTAGATCTTTAAATGACTGCCTCTTCTGTCACTCAGGGCTCTACTCCAGTGCTGCCTCCTCAGAGAGGCCCTCTCTGACTACACAGCACTCTTTTACACTCCTTCACGGAGAAACATATCTGCTAAGCATCGTTTAGCAGACCTGAAACTCCCTTTTCTATTTGTTTCCTTATTTTCTGCCCATCTCGCTCACTAGGTGGTAAGTTCAGTGAGGGTGGGGACTATGTCATGTTCACTGCTGTCTCTCCCAGAGCCTAGCACAGTGCCTGGCAAACAGTGGACACTTTTTAAATATTTAGTGAATGATAACCTAGAGATTACCATCATCCCCATTGTAAGCAGAGGCTGAGAGAGGTTGAGGACCATGCTCAGGGTCACGAAGGTGGAAAGTGACAAGGCTGGCTTCTGCGTGGAACGACACAGGACTGTCATAGGGATAACCTCGTAAAGTGCCTTCCATGCCGGGATCCAAGCCAGGGACTGTGGCAAGCCCAAGGAAAGGGCTGGAGGGCCCAACATGTTCTCTAAGACAGAGGGCAGATGCACGGGTGCAGGCGCCTGCGTGCACGTCTCTGAGCAAGCACACGGTACAGGCATTTGTGGGCACACACACACACACACACACATCCCACATATATTCAGACCCATAAACACACATGAAGGGAGCTGGACAGCTACTCATGAGGTAGGCTCCTGAGGTGGTGAGGAGCCTACAGGCCTAGGGCCAAGGTCCGGGGCAGCTAGACCTACATCACTGGGCAGCTGGGTGATTGGTTGAAACCATTCTGCTCTGGGAGCAGCTGGGGCAGGGGAGGGACAACCCAGTGCTTCAGGCTAGGGCAGGTGGTGAGGAAGACAGGCACCCACACTGACCACAGCCACAACCATGGCATCAGGCAGCTGTGTGGGTTTGGGAGGAGATGGAGGAGTACAGGCCAACCTGGTAGAAATGGGGGCACAGGAGGCAGAGCTGGGATAGGGGACCCGTGGCACTGAGCACTACCCAGGACAGGCAAAATCTAAGAGCCTGTGAGATATCCAAGAGTGCCTACAGCCCAGGCAGGGTATGTAGAGGGGACAGGGAACAGAGAAAATCATTCTGGAATGTCAGTGTAAAAGCAAAACTGAGACTACAGCTGTCCCAGGCAGCAGGGCTGAGAGCCAGGCACTCAGGTGTTGCCTCCAATGTGCTAGGGGAGCTTGGGCAAGTGAAACCCTTCTCTGGCCTCATTCCCTGTGTACATCAGAGATTCCTAACCATTTCTAAGCCTTAGACCTCTTTGAGCATCTGATGGAACTCTGGATCTTGCTCCAGACAGACTCACACAGGTGCAGAATATTCTGAGTACTTTTTGAGAGGCTCATGGACCCCTACAGCCCATCCATAGGAACTGGGCATGAACCCCAACCTGGACAATCCCCAAGGACTTTCCACCTCTGACACTGTACACTCAGAGTTCCATGAACGCTACTTGGAAAAAAAAAAAAAAAAGCTGGAAACCTTTCATTCTCAGACCGATTTTCTGCCCCCTGGGAACCTACCCTGAACACCCCCATTGGTTCCACTGCCCTTTCCCAAAATTTCTACTACACTAATTGACTCCCTAGCTCACCCAGACTTTAGCACATGGGTGGGGATCTTCACACACACACGAACACACAACTGTACCCACATGGACAGTTAAATTAGACGATCAGCAAAAAGGGCTGGTGTGTTGTAAGTGCTCAGAACAGACCTTGGCCAGCTGTGCCCCACACCATTCATGGGGCCCAGGCTGGCCCAGACCTGTCCACTCCAGGCCTCCACAAGAACCTGCTGAGCCACTGACAGCACAAGCAACAGGGAAGTGACAGGAAGACCTCTCAGCGGGGCCCCTGGATCACACAGCTCACCATGCCACCCCACAATCTCTGCCAGCCAACGAGTCTGGAGGTCAGGACCTTCCTGTCATCCCAGAGCTGTGAGCACACTCCGAGGCACAGATCAGCCTGGTCGTGTACCTCCTCCATGTCCCACTTGCCCGGGGCAGGGAGATGCCCCGGATAATACGGAGGGATGTCTACCCAGGAGCCTTGGGAACTGCCCTGCCTCCATTCCCCAAAGTGACCCTAATCCTTCTACCTACTTGGTCTTCTCAGCTTGGACCACCTAGTGCCTCAGATGGGACAGTCCAGGACAGTGGGTCAGCGCCCTAACTGTGCAGTCAGAAAGACCTGGCTTCAAATCCCACAAGCTGTGTCACCTCAGGAAAGTTGCCTACCTCTCTGAGCCTCAGCACCCTCCTCAGCAAAATGGGGGGGGTGGTGCTAACAGCATCTGCCCCGCAGGGCTGCAGGGAGGACAAAGGAGATGGCTTGGCTGCGATGCTCAGCTCAGAGTCAGGCACAAGTGCTCGGGGAAGGGTGCTTTTCCAGAGCCATCTCTCAGGTCTGCAGGGGAGGGAGCTGGCTGCCCACATTGGGGGCGGAATGCACAGTAGAGCAGCACAGGACACCCAGTGGGCCCCAGCAGACATTTGCCCTAGGCAGCCTGTCAGAGCAGGCTCTGAGGCAGCGGCTTCAGAAGCCCAGCCTGAGGGTAGAGTCAGGAGAAAGGCTCCTGTGGGGACCAGGAGGGTGGGCCAGAGAGGGTGCCCCAACCTTTCCTGAGGCAGGTGAGGACCCTACAGTCCTGACCCCACTAACACTCCTGCCCTAGACCAGGCTCCCTCCTAGCTTTCCATCTCAAGGCACAAGAGCCACACCAGGTGCAGGGCAAGGGCCAGGGGTCTGGACCTCCCTTAAAAGGCTCCCATTCCCTTCAGGTGATGTTAATCTGGGATTAACCAGGAGCCCAGCACCAACCTGCTTTCTTCCTCTCAGCCTGGCCTTGGGTTGTGGGCGTCTGGAAGGCCTCCTTTCTTATGGTGGGGCAGGCAGAGGTTCCTGGGATTGGGTGTACACTTGCATCTTATCTGCACGTGCCCCGCAGCCTGCTGGGACTTTCAGGGGCCCCTGGGCCCAGCTCTGCAAAGGTCATTCTTTTACATCTCCCAGCTTACTTCACTCCCACCCCCCCACAGCCACTTGGCACCTTCATTTGCTTAGCATTTGCATACATCTGCGTGCTGGTTTGGAGAGCCCTCAACACTGATGAAATTCACAGTGTCTGCTGTCAACCCCCAAATCATGTTTATAGCTGGTGACTCTACCCCCAGTCAACTTCCCTGCAGGGTGAGCCCTCAGTTATTTGGGACCACAAAGGACTAGGCTGTTCTGGTTAAGCTGGCTGCTGCCTGTCTTCCTGGAACTTCAGCTGGCACCTGGGACTCACTCTGCTTCTTGAGCCACATCTGAGCCATGAGCCGGCAGATTGAAAGCTTAACCCCAAAAGCTACAATGAACTGACCAAGGGCAAGTCCTCCCAGCAAGTCCTGCCTTGGCTAAAAAGCCTGGGGAAGGGCAGACTCCAGGGGCTCAAACTCTGAGCAGCCTCCCCCCAGTCTGGTTCAACAGCCAGGAGAGATGAACCAAGAAACTTCATCCTCCCTGCTCCCTGCCCAACTTTCATTTACCCCATACTCTCGAGATCCTCACATTCTCTGCCCACCCTGCCTCTTCCTCTCTGCCTCCTTCCCTGAGACCTTCCTCCCCACCCTCTCCCCAACCTCTTGATTACATCACTCCACGTAACCCCTCCCTTGCTGAGGCTCCTCTTCCCCTCCCTCCCTCCTCTTACCCTGTCCTCTCCTGTCTGTTTTAGGGCTTCAGCACAGGGTCTGACAAAGGTTGTGGTCTCCTTGGGCCTGGTTGAAGGTGAGCAGCATGTGGTGCAAAGTGAGCGGGTGTGAAAGGGTCTGTACTGGGCCGTTCCACCATCGCCTTCCTGTCCCCATCTTTGAAACTGGCCCTCCTATTCAGCCATAGCCCACTGATGGGAGATCTGGGGGCTGGTGAAAGTCTCACCCCTTCATGGACTGTCCATGGGATAGGAGAGAAAGAGAGGAGTCAGGAATGACGCCAGTATTTCGACGTGAGCACCTAGAAGGATGGAGTTGCAATTCCTGAGATGGGGAAGACCGGGTGGAGCAAGTTTGGGAGAGAAGATCAGGAGGAGCGGAGCTCAGCTTTGGACAAGTTGGGTTTGACGTGTCCAGTAGACATGGCAGTCGAGATGCTGAGTGGACTTTTGGAGCTCAGGAGAGAAGTCAAAACCTGGGATATAAATTTGGGAGCTGGCAGCATATAGGTGGTGCGTAAAGCCATAGGACTGATGAGATCGTCTCAGGAGTGAATGCAGATGAGGAAGAACAGCCATACAAGGGCTGAGTCCTGAGCACCCCAATATTGTGAGCTGCAGGTCGGGGAGAAGGAGACTGAGAAGGAGTAACCACGAGGTCAGAGGAAAACAGGACAATGGATGTCCTGGAGATCAAGGAATGTATTTCAAGGAAGAGGGAGAGATTGAAGGTGCCAAAGGAGGCAGATGAGGACTGAGAATGGCTATTGGGTGTAGCAACATGGAGGTCATTGGTGACCTTGAGAAGAGCAGTCAGTGGACAACCCTTCTGGGGAGGTTTGCTGTAAAGAGGAGCACAGAGATGCAGTGGCAGCTGGGTGGAGAAAATGAGAGAGCCATCTTTTAAGACAGGAGAAACAATAACAAGGTATCTGCTGAAAGGCACTTCCCTGGTGGCGCAGTGGTTAAGAACTCGCCTGCCAATGCAGGGGACGCGGGTTCGATCCCTAGTCCGGGAAGATCCCACATGCCTTGGAGCCACTAAGCCCATGAGCCACAACTACTGAGCCTGCACTCTAGAGCCTGCGAGCCACAACTACTGAGCCCGCGCACCACGACTACTGAAGCCCGCGCACCTAGAGCCCATGCTCCACAACAAGAGAAGCCACCACCATGAGAAGCCCACGCACTGCAACGAAGAGTAGCTGCCGATCACCGCAACTAGAGAAAGCCCACACGCAGCAAGATCCCACGCAGCCAAAAATAAAATAAATAAATAAATGTATTACCAAAAAAAAAAAAGATATCTGCTGATGGAATGATCCACTGCGGGGGAGCCTATAATGCAGGAGGGGGCATTTGCTGGAACAGTGTGCCCTCCACCGCCCACATTATAGGTTCCCCCTCTACTGCACAAGGGGACAGGATCTATCTGCACAAGTCAAGGGCTGGCCTAAACCAGGAGCAGGGACACTTCATCCGCAGCAACTGGGGAAGGCAGAGCAGTGGGTACAGATGCTAGTGGATGGGTGAACGTAGCACTGGGAGTCTGAGGAAGTTCTAACTGCTTCTGTCTTCTCAAAGAAGTAGGAAGCAATGTCATCAGCTTTGAGGGAGGATTGCAGAAGAGGGGCTAGGGTTGAAGGCAGAACGGAAAGAGT